GCGGATTGCAAAACCGAATTACACTATACTAAGGAACTTTTGAGAACTTACCAAGCACCTTTAAAGGATCTTGAGACTTTGATAACTCTTTCTAAAAAGTAAACAATTCTCAAATATGGTGCCTCCGAGGAGGGAGGAGAAGGAGAAGCAACCGAAACTGAAGTTCCCTGCCGGAAGTGCCAGCCCAGCGAGTTCTGTTCCTAGACAGGACACTACCATAGACTTCCAAAGTATGCTGACTGAGGCTTTGCGCCCTCTGCTGAAACAAATGACATCGCTTCATAAGAAGTTCGATGCACAACAAAGCCAGTTAAATGAAACTACTAAAAAGACAGAGAAAATGGAGCAAGAGATTAAAGAAGTGGATGCCAACACCCAGAAGCTTAAAAAACAAATGCAGGTGGTGGAAAATAAGAGAGCAACTGATGAGGCTCAACTTTTACAGCTGCAAATGGAAAAGGCAAGCTATGTCTTAAGATTCCAGCGGGTTTCTGAAGCAAAAGGAGAAGACTTGAAGCAGATAATGTGCGATGCATTGGGTCCGGTTGCAGATTTAAAAGCGGATTTTTTACAAAACGAAATAGACACGATCTATAGGTCGTATTCTGATTACATAAGAAAGAATAATCTGCCCAACGAGACTGTGGTGAGATTCTCCAGGAGACAAGTAAGAGACCAAATACTGAAAGCAACAAGTGGAGCCACCCTGAAAATCAAAGACAAAGAAATAAGAGTTCTGAAGGACATTCCATTTGAAGTAAGGAAGAAGAGAAAGACATTCAGAGACTTGGCGCTGTTCTTACAGAAAAATAATGTCCCCTACAGATGGCGTTTTCCTGAATGCATGCTCTTCAAATTTAAAGACAAGGAAAAAAAATGACTCTGTTGTAAAGGCATGTGAATTTCTACATCAACATGCCGGTCCAGCAGGTGAAGAGGATAAAGCTGAAGATGATAGCAACAAGGGAAGTGAAGAAGAAGGAGTACTGGCACCTTCTGATGAGGGCTCAGTTTCTGAACTTGGGGCGGCTGCCCCTAAACTAAGCTATCGATTGAGAAACAAAAAGGATAAAAAATGAGTTGTGATTGTTCTCTAGATTTTGTTTTAAATGAATTTAAATCATTTCTTTATAGAGCTCTTTGTATAGTCAGATTTGTTGGAGATTCTAGTAGAAGCATTAAGAATTTTGTACTCACTTAATGTAGCAAAATATAAACTCATTTAACTAGAAGCTAATTTTGCAAGCATTGTAAATGATCACCATCTCTTGGGGGTTTAGTGGTTTTTCTTTACTTTCACCTGTAGTTTGTAGTTACCTTTCCTTGTTTCTTTGTAGTTTATAGAAAATGCAATAAAAAAATCCCCTACAGGGGACAAAAAAGTGACATTTATGTCAGATCCGGCCCTTATAGCAAATGAGTTTGACACCTCTGCTCTAGACTTAGTAGCCCACATTTGGTTGCTATGGTTTTCCAAGTGGAAAGCAATTAGTATTTCTTTTCAGTTAAACTAAAGAGGAAGGACAGGGAATTCCTTAAACACTCTGCATACTAATTAATAAAGTGTCCACCCCCACCCCAACCTGCTGTCTAATTATGCACACTGACTTGATGAAGGTACTAAATAATACCTACAAAATGTGCACATTTGTGTGAGAGGGGAGGGAAGTTTAAATCCAATCTTATTTCTAAGGACTGGTTGCACAAAAAGTTATATAATGAAGAGCATTTTTAGTTCTCTGTGTATGGGAGAGTATGGGGGTTGCATGCACATTCACAGATCTTGTTTTTTACTTCCCTGTCAGGTCCTGGCTCCTCTGGGGTGGTCACCTGAGGAGTTGGGGTCTCCAGGATGTGATTTTGTAGCCAGTAGCAACAGAAGGACAGGTCTCAGATATAGCTGTGGGGGGGTCAGTCTCACCTGTGTCCCTCTCTCCAGCTCACATGCTTGGGGGGGGGATTTTCTCTGGGCATTCTGCTTCCCCTTTGAGAGATGCGCGCTCTTCCTCCCCGGCCTGCCTGAGCCACCTGGCTTAAATCAGCCTCCCAGTCCACCCCCTTCTCCTCTTTCTTCAGAGAGGCAGGTGAGGGGGTTTCAGCTGTCCACCCTGAGTGTGAATCCTTCCCATCTCCCTTCTCTTAGCCTCAGGTGGGGTAGCCGCTTTGCCCAGCCCTGCCTACTCTGTGGGCTTGGCTCCAGCCTCGTCCCTGGCTGGGTCCTGGTGTCAGCTCTCTGGGATGCTCCACAGCTCGACCAGGGATGGTGCTCTCCTTGGGGCTGCTGGGTCACCTGTGACTCTAACAGGCCCTTGTCGCCTGTGCCTCCCATGGCACTGCGGGTTGCGGCCTGAGGACTAGTGGAGTCCAGGGTGGTGGACCCTGGACATTCCCTTTTCCAGAATACTTGAAGGTTTTATTTCTGAATCCTTCACAGATTAGAGGAGGGTGTCAGAAGGGAAGAGCTAAGCTTTGATCAGAAGATACTCAAATGGACTAATTCCTAACCTGCTTTTCTTTTTTCTAAACATAACCCCCCCATATCTTCCTTGAACATTATGGACCCCGCCAGAGGGCAATAAGCAATTTCAGACATCGCTGCTCATTCTTTTGATTTTTTAAAAAAATTACAAACGAATATGTTACGGAATACTTGTGTATTTCCCTGTGTGTGCAGTAGCCTCCCTTTGTCTGTAGGTGGTCCCATTTGGATGTTCTAGGGGTGTTGGCACAGTACCATCCAATTTACTGTTAGAGTTGTTTGGTTTATACTCCTCTGATCCTAAAAGGGTTGCCCACACTCCACCGCTATGCAAATATGGCAGTCGGCTGCCTGTATGCAGTTGTGTATTCACATCTGCAAGCAAATATGGTGAGTATGTTGCAACAGGGTGAAACCGTCAGCTCTGACACGGCCGGTTATCCAGTCCAGAAAGATGAAAAGTCTGAATCCAAGAAGAAGAAGAAGAAGCTATCAAGTCCCAGCCAACTCATGGCAACCCCATCCACAGGGCATTCCAGGCAAGTGATGTTCAGAGGTGGTTTGCCATTGCCTGCCTCTGCAAAGCAACCCCAGTCTTCCTCAGTGGTCTCCCATCCAAGTACTCAATGTGGCTGACCCTGCATAGCAGTCAAGTTCTGACTAGCTTAGGCTAAGCCGGACTATTAAAGCTGCTGTCTGAATCTATGAAGCTGAGAAATTTATTTAGATATTTATGCCCTGCTTCCCCCCCCCCCCCCCCCCACACACACCAATGGGGACCCAAAGCAGCAACTTTGTCCTCCCCTCTTCCATTTTATCCTGGCAACAACTATCTCATATAAGGTATGTTAGGCTGAAAGAGTGACTGATCCAAAGCCACCAAGTGAGCTTCCGTATGTGGATGCAACATTAGGTCTCCCAGGTGCTATTCCAGCCCTCTAACCGCTATACAACATTGGCTGTCTATC